GGCTCCCCCCCCCTTACGTGGACAAAGCTCCGTGATTCTTCTCTGTATGCCCGTTGTCCGGTGTGTCTGCCCAGGGAGATATGTGATGCGCGATGTGAGGAGGGCATGTTGCCGCTGCGACTCTTGTGCGCTAGTTGCTTCTCCGTTGCGTGGGCGAGCCATGTGGACATCGACAGTGAGGTTGGAGCGTAACCTTGAAAGTCGAGGGTGTCCAGTGATTGGCTGGCTGTACCGGTTGTGATGTGGACTGGCCGTATGGACGTCGACAGGGAGATGTGTGAGAGACCTCGGCAAGTCGAGTGCGTCCGATGATTGGCCAAGGAGAGTCACGTGATCGAAAGCAGCGGGCTTTATAAGGCCGAGTCTGTATTTCGATGAGTGGAGATCAGAAAGGTTGCGTGTTCATATCATCGTCGGGGTCACCAAGTTGTGGCGGCTGGTGTTGGAGGAGCGTTGTCCACGATATGATGTAGAATTTTTGGTGACGGAAAAAAGTGTTGGCCGCAGTGGGATTCGAACCTGTGGTCCTCAGGTGTATGAGTCTCGAGCGCTACCACTGCGCTGTGCGGGCCACGGTACTTTTTCGTGTATGTTTCTGCTAGGTATTAGTTTGTGTGAGCGGGGGACCGCCACAAATTCACTAAGCTTTGGACAAAATTTTAGAAAAACAATCGTCTCAGAATTAAATCGTCTCAGAAATACGATATTTTATGCAAAAGGTTGTTTTGAATCATCCTGTATATTCCTGTTATTTAATTTTATTGAGAGTATCATAGCGAAGAAAGAGTTCAGGAAATAATTTATAAATGTATTGCCATTAAAAAACTGATTTGTTTCATTTTAAATCATTTTATAATAAGTTAAAAAACAGTTACGAAAAGTTTTAAGATTGATTAATGTAATTTACAAAAATTTTATTTTTAGATTTATATAGAAAATAAAACAATATGTTTATATTATTTTTTTTATAATATCCTACAGAAATATCTAAAATACATCATAAGAATATTGATAAACCCACAGCATTGAGAAATTTCAGAAAAACTGTCAATAAAATATGAAACCTTTCAAAAAAATATTTCAGACATGTTTCAGACATGTTTCAGTTAATATGCTTTGATGTAATTTCAGAAACGTTTCTGAAATATTTATGAAATTTATAAATATTTTAATAAAATCTTTAAAATATATCAAAAATATTTCAGTTATAATTTTTTCACACAGTGCCGAAGTATATTAGAAAGTTTGCAGAAACCTTTCAATGAAAATTGAAACCTTTCAAAAAATATTTCAGGCATATGTTTCACATTAATGTTATGTCCGCTTTTTGAAAGCTTTCTGAATGTTTTTCTGAAATCTTTTGTGCTTTGTAGGTATATTATTTCTGTTAGTTTCTGTGAAATATACAAGGTGATTGGAAACTCTGGGTTTGAAAGACTTTTGAAAAGACATGATTTTGATTATATTCTGAGATAATTTTTTCCTCTTACAAAATTTTGTTCGGAGTTTTTGAATTATAAAAGAAATAATCTTGTTATCACAGAACGAATATAAGAGATAAATAGTAGCGGTGTAACTTCTGATTTATCTTTTCGAAAGGTTTCTGAGAGGTGTTGTGCTGTATGGGAAGATATCGCAATATTTTCAAAATATCCTTATGATGTATTTTGTAAATTTCAACTATGTGGAATACCATGTGGAAACTAATAACATAATAGTAAAAAAACTATATTAATATAAGAAATTCTACACTATAGATTATGCAATCTACAAAATTAAATTGCTAAGATATAATTCACAATTTAAAAGTTTATTACAATATTACAATATTACATTAGATACAAATTATGCGATTTTATAGCTAATTTTAAAGATAAAGAAAATTATTGACTATAAATCGCATATCACTTTTTTAGCGTTACTAATGTAATTCTAGAATATTTAAAATTATTGATAAAATTATTGATGCGTTTGTTGATGTCTCATTTCTTGCTACCTTGATTCGCCAACTTTCACTAAACCAAAGAAACTTTTATCGTGTTGAAAAAGAGTATACCTCGCTGATCCAATATCTTTTAGAACTAAGTGATCGCCAGCCTGTAGAACAGTCACTTGAGCTGAGAAACACGAACGGCTCTTATGTCCTCTACCAGGGCTATAAACCTAAAAATTATATTTATTATTCTTTATGTTTATACAATTTTTTATATTTTAATAAACTACTTATATTAAATTATTTCCTTACATAAATAGTAATTATGATATTATGGTCTCTTATTCAAAATTTTCATATTTTACATAAGCGTCTAATTTAGAAAATATTTTATGTAAAAATGCTACAACTTTATATCAAATTATCAAAATTTATTATTATCAAAAAGAATTAAAATCTGGATTAACAATAAGGTACAAAGCTACTTGATCATACATACATATTTGATACATAAATAAATTTAACAGTAAATTTTGTTACATAAAAAGAAGATAAATAAACAAATAATAAATAATATATTTTATAAACTTTTAAATATTCATTGAGGTCATTTGAATTTACGTATAATTATTCACTTGGATTGTTGAAATAAAAAAGGAATTTTTGATATATTTTACAAGAATTTTTATTACGTGTCTTTTTATTATACTTCTTGCCTTTTGACATCTGAATTCAAGATGATTACAGTAATAATCAAAAAATTTTAAATTTGCAATAGAGAAATGTGGAGATTTAAAAAGAAGGCAAAATATTGCAGAGAAATATTGCAGAAGTCGAACCATTCAGAAATAAATGAGAAAAATAAAAGAGAGGCGTGACACATTGATTAATATCAAAAAATGCAAATAAATTCTAAAATCTAATCTTCAGTTATTTAAAATCATCAACCGAAAGAAACTTTAGTAAAGGGCAAAAAGATAATATTCGAGAACGTATTGTGTGAACATAGTGACGACAGTTGCAAGAAATCGTTTAAAGGGAAAAAAAAAGTTCCGTTAATTTATTTGTTACGTCGTATGTAATTCCACGCCCAGAATTGAACGAATCTTGAATCAAGACTAACTGTTATTAAACTGTTATTAACTGTTAAGCAACGAATCGTGTACAATACAATAAATTATTTTATTATGTTAATAAAATTTTCTGCGGTAACAGGCTCCTCCTCGGAGCGCTCTTATTTCCCATGGTTCTTACCATGCACTGCAGGATAGGTCTGCCGTTCACCAACAGGTGGAAGCCGTTTTCATCGTGCTCATCCAAATAATGGATTTGCGCGTAAACTAAGTATAATCCTGGTTCATGGACGGTAAGTACGCCGTCGTTGGCGAATGTAAAATGCCTGTTCATGCCGAGATCTGCGACCCACTCGCTCGGCTGCCACGCTCTGAAGATGCTGTTGTAATGTCGCGCCCTACCGTTGCCCGTATGCTCGTCCTGCGTCGAAAAGAGCGCGCTGTCGCCCCCGTAGTGAATCGCATAGACCTGCCGTGGTGCACGCGAATGCCTTCGAGTCAATTTCCGGTGTAACCTCCCCGCGGCCACCTCGTGTTTCTAATTCAATTCATAATCTTTTGCGTTGTTCGCTCGACTGATCGTGAGAAATTTGATACTACGGGGTCTTTTTTTTAACTCTATGCGAACGCGAGTTTTTTCTCGTAATAACTGTAATACGCACCTGAACAGCTCGACGAATCTCGGTTCTGTTTCCCGAAACAGAAAGGTCACGACTTTGCGACCAGACGAGTCTTCTGTGCTCACCCGCGATGCCCGTATCTTCCCTTCCGTATCTATCAGGTTGACTGATTTCCTCATTTAATGGATTACGACGTGCCGGAGTCGTCTCCAGTGCATGGGCGTGATACTTTTTTGGAGGATGTCTGTCTCAGAAAAATAGTTGATTTGAACATGAAATGGACGAATCTAGGAATTAATCGAATTAAAATACTTTACTTTATCACATTCCATTTTTTAACGATTACAAATACAAAAACGCTAACGCGTTTTCACATTCATCTATTTCTTCGATCTATTCTATCTATTTCTTCGATTATTCGCGAATATTGAGCTTTATCGATCAATTGCTCTCTCTCTCTCTC